TCTGTGCCAGGAAGTACTTTTGACTGAATGTCCTCCACTCCAGCTAAGCCAGGTGGAGCACAGACCAGACTTGGCACCTAGAGATGGAAGAAGCATGTGAAACTTGACTGGTATGAGAGAGGGAGGTACATGCCTGGTGCCAAGCATTTGCCACCTCATCCTCTCTGCTTGGCAGGCTGTTTATTTCCTACTGTCGGGCACGTAGCTCTAAGAGTGTGTCAGCTTATTTCCTACTTCATCTTAAACATCCAAAGTGACCCATCTTCCTTTTTGTGTCTTTTTATACAAAAAAAACCCCTCGCTGTTACCCAGGGGAGATTGATCTTATAAAGAGTTCAGGTGTGAAGATCATCAAGTTTCCAGAAGTATTAAGGGGTGTTTGACATTTCTTAGTTATGAACTGTCCTGCCTCCTGGCTGTCAGACAGCCCTTCCTCCTGTCCACATCCCTAACGCCTGCGTCTGAGCATGTGCAATCTAGGCAATTATTCCTGAATTCCTGAATGTTTGCAGAAGCAAAGAGGTTCAAAGAATGCCTGGAAGACGGTCTTTTTTTGACCCTTAGAAGTGACCTGAGGGTCCATAGTGCCTGGTGGTACTGGTTGTTGGTCCTATAGCTGGTGTGGCCTCCAGATGTCCCTTGGAAGGGATGCATTTCTCCTGCACATCTTGAATATGCTGGGCATTTTATAAGGTGTTACACAGCCTACCTTCATGACATGAGTTGATCCCATACTGCCAATGTTTTCTACTTTTCTTTGCTAAGCTGCTGCTTAGGTTGTTATTTTTCTACCATGTATAATGTTATTTTAAACTGCTTACTCCAATAGGACCCACGTAAGATTAAGTGATATGTCTGCTGCTTGTCGCTTGTATTGAGCTGCAGTTTCTTGCAAACTAAACTGTTTGCAACATGGTCACACTGCAGTATGAATGTCCAGCTAGTAACAGAGTGAAACATAAACTATTTATGTTAAAGTTTTGCTATATTCTGCATTATTTCTGGTGTGTAGGTTATTGCACAGTTCATTGTCAGCCCATTCTTGTACAGGGGCACTGTATGCCAGGTGTAATGGAAAGCTCCGTATTTGTGTCCCGCTTGTATCTTTTGCTGACAGTGCCCTTCTTGGAGCAGTGCAGAGTCTGATCTCACCTGTTCTGCAGATGGAGCCTTGCCAGGGGGCTGAAACATTTACTGTGGCTGTCCGCTTAGCTGGTTTCATTTCCCAGTGCAGAGGGAAACCTTGAGCAAGGCTTATACTGGGGGGAAGGAAAAAAAAACCCCAAACAAACAATTCATGTCTAAGATCCTGGCTATATTTTCAAAATGGAGTCATGGCGCAGACTCGTGACGTACTTTTGTGTCAGTAATGTGGACAGGGATGTGATGTCTTATCCTAACACAGTTACCATGTAGTTCAACTGCTCTTGGGCCCCTGAGCTGCTGGGGCAGAAGATGTAGAAGTGTGGGGAGGAGTGAGGTGTCCTGGCCAGACACAGGACTTCAGTTCTTCTCTTCACCATGTCTCATTCCCGTGATGTTTTTTTGCATTTAATTAAGTGGGATTCCTGGCACCGCTTGCTTTGCTTGTACCTGCTTTTGGGGATCGGCACTTTTCTCCTCTGTACATGTGATATTCCATGCTGCTGCCTCTGCTGCTTCTAGACAGAGGCTGCTTTCCTTCAGTGTTGCTGGAGCTTGCTAGTTCTTTGCCTTCATTTTTTCTCTGTCCAGGCTTCCCTTAATCTGCATAAAAACTGTAAGCAAATGTGTTTGCTTACAGTGTCAATTAGTAGTGCTAATTCTTCCACACTGAGAGCTCTTTTGAAGAAAAAGAGGGCAATTTCTGATTAATGCAGGCTCTTTGTTTAACCTCGGTGTTATCTGGTAGCTCTGTCTCAATTAAACACTAACCAGTTTGCCAGGAGACTCCCACTGCTGTCTCACAGTGCAGGGCTAGCAGAGCAAGCACGGAAGAATTGAAGCAGGAGAAAATGTGTGTGCCTCAGGTTTGAGGAGCACAGTCAAACCACAGTCTCTGCTGACTTGCTTCAGCAATAGCAGTTGTGTTTAGGATGTAGTACTTGGCTCACTCTTAAAAGCCAATTTTAAATAGCTTCCAGAACTTCTGCAAGGGTATCTTCGAACAATATGTGAATATTTGAATATGTGAATATTTGTGGGTGAAACAATATGTCAATATTTGACGGAGATTTCATGGAAGTAGTTCGTTTTTTCCTCTTGGAGTGCTCCTCTGTGAGGAGAGTATTCCTAACCCCCTGGCAGTGGCAAGAGATGGCAGGATGCAACAAAACAGCCAGCCTTGCCCTGGTCTATATACAGACATATGGACTTCATAGAAGCATGTCATTTAAATAAGACCTGTTTTAATCAGAAATCCTGAGGCGTACAGGAGCAAATCACCTCCTCAAGGATCTGAAAGCAAACAAGGTTAATATTGAAAATTAATGTGTTGTATTCTGTAGTGGCTTTGCATTGATGTTAGGAATAATAAATACAGCATCTCTAATGTTTAGTTACATGACCTTTACTATTTTCCTTTGCTTGAATAGCTGTGTAAGAATTGCCAGCTTTGGAAGCCTGAATTACAAAGCAGCTGTGATAGATAATTGACCATTCAACTTCGAGAATGGAGCTTCCTACCATTATAATTAATTTCTTTAGGCATCCACATGGCTGATTACTAGATTAACCAGTGGCCTGAGGGTGTTAATGTGTTACATTCAAACTCAGCTTCCTTACAGGCCTTTAGTACAAACATTTAGACAGATAGTAAAAGGATTTGTTCAAAGCTCTGAAAGCATAATTAAAAATAATAATAATAAAGCAGCGCCATTATAGTGTATTCTGCTTGTAAAGTCTATGAGGCATCAAGTAGCAATGTTGGTTTGGGGTTTCTTTTTTCCTTGAGTGTAAAATGGAGAAAAAAGAACACTTGCTTTCAGTGTAACAGTGATTACCTCTCACTGCAGAGATTTTGACTGTGATCAGACCTTAACTTTTTGCACATCGGACCAATTGCAATGAAGGACTCGAGCATCCCCTTGTAGGGCTATTCAGCATTCATAAGTGCCTGGCCTTGGGAGTGGAATCCAAAATCCTGCTTTAGACAGTTGGGTCTAAATGCAAGACAGGCAGCAGAGTTGTGTCTAAGATAGGTGTGTGCTTTGCAGGAGTGAGATGCCTTCAGAAAGCCACAAATCCACCCACAGTAGCCTGTAGGCGGATGCCCAAAGGTTTCTCCTGGAAGGTAGCTCTCAGTCCGCCTTAGCCAGAGAGATAACTGCCCAGGGTCAGCTGTTTCCTGGAGGGCCCTGACCACCATGCCATGACAGGAAACAAAAGCAACTCTGATTGACTTTGTATTAGAAGGAAAAAAAAAACTGAATTTAGTGAGAAGTTTGTCTGCCACGTCAAGAAGGAGCTTCTCTGGGGACCGTTGTGCAAGTCACCATCTGAGCAGTACATTTACATTTTGAAGCAGTTCTGTGCAAGGTCAGAAAGTTAAGCCTGGGCATATATAATACTTCAAACACTTTAGATGTTGCCAGAATTGAAATGCAATTGTCAAATTTGGGCTTAAATGCCTGAATAATAATCATTGGTTTAAAAACACAGACCTTTTCCTGTGTGGGATTGTTAATGTGTGAAAAGCAGTGAGAGAACCCTAAAAAGAACACTTGTAAACTCAAAGGTGGGAAATACCAGTCCTGTGCAATATAATCTGTGTAATACATTCTCTTTTGACTGTAATCTTTTGAAAAGATTCTCTTTGGTGACCTGACACAGAATGGCAAGTTAGGATGCCGTCTCTCCCCAAAATGTTCATTATTATCACCTCTGCTGATTTTACAGCTAAATTCTTAATATTTGATGTAGTTCTTAAAATGGCAGCTTCTTCAGTCACCTGATTGTGAGAGAAATAAGTCATTTTAATAGTAATCCTTTCTGGTTACACAGAAGAGCTTGTAAATATGATTGGAGTGTGTTTGTTGTTCTTATAAGCTTGTTTTAGATTATTGAGTAGTTGGATTCAGCTGTGCAGAAAATGACACTTGATCAAGACTTTTCATAATATGTATTCACGAAAGGGCTGAAATAGTGCCATATAAATCTGGCACTGCTTAACTTTCTCAGATGCTGTATTTTACAAGCTAAATGCTGCTTTACATAGATTTTTATATGCAACATATTTAAAAAAAAATTTGGAAAGGTTAAAAAAAATTCCATTAGATGTGTTGGTAATATATCCCTTATTCATCTTTATCAGGGTTTTGACCATGATTTTTTAGTACTGCTCCACATACTAAAACCACTTGAGTTAGAGTTGGATATACAATTTGCTAGTGAGAGAAGGTCTGAACCGAATGGAGAGGACATCTGGGGGCAGGCAGGGGTCAAAGGTTTGTTCAGAAGGCTTTTCCTGTGAGGTCCCTCATGTTGGGGTTCTCCTGTTGCATACAATGGCCAAGAAGCAAGGAGAAAGACCAGCATGGTTGTGCTTTGAAAAGATGGTCGGTAAGAGTTAGGAAGACCTAACTCTGCTCCTATACCTTCCCACCCGTAGTCCGTGGGGAGTACAGGGCTGTCTGGAGAAGGCGCAGATCTCAGAGGGGAGGCAGCACTGTGCTTTTGGAGGTACATGCTCCTGGGCAGCCTGGGAAAGGGAAGGACAGTGCTGATGGTTTGAGAATTCAGCTAAATGAGATTGGAGTTTCCTGGGACAAAGCAAAAGTACTTCTTGAGCCTGAAGGCTTTTTCGTCCTACTGAATTTCCAAGGCCTGCTGCAGTAAGTGGAACTGCTGACGCTTGTGACCTTTTACTAAGAAGCATCTTTCATAACAGGGAGTGATAGGCAGCCTAAATATAGCGATTGCTACCAGCTTCTCCTGTAATTTGCAGCCCTTCTGTTGTTCACTTGTTCTGCTTGCTTTCTTTTTATCTCCCTTATTCGTAGGTTTGCTATCCCATCATTATCTTAGTTTTCTTTCTGTTTCTCTGATGAGATGCATGAAGAAGCTAGATTGCAGCACCAGGAAATCAGATGAGCTTCCAAATCTAAGAAGTGTTGTGTTTCATATGCTGTTTCTAGATGTCTTTGAATTAAAGCATAAATCAGCTTCTAAACCAAAAGCTACAAATTGTTACTCATTTAATAACTTAGCAATAGCATTGAGTGTTGAACTTTAATGCCCCTTTCATAAATCTAAGACAAGATTTTCATTTACTCACAAAGACGTTTGGGTGACCTCCGAAGTACAACTCAGAAGATCGCAGGGCTCGCAAGCTATCTTGTTTATTTATTTACTGAGAATGGCATTTTAATCACAAGAAAAATGGTCTGGAAAGACAGTGATGTTTTCCAATCTCTAGAAACAAAACTACTCCTACCCTAGTTGTAGATCTTTATGTAAAGGCCGTTCTGTCCTTTCATTATCATTCAGTGACACTAGAAAAAGGCCTTGTCTGAAATCCATAAAATCTTGCCAAAATCTGCTTTCCAATACAGAAAAGCAGAGAATGGGACATGTCACTTTAAAACATAATAAATGTATTAACTTAATGCCTCTGAAGACATGACAGAAAAGCATGACTCATTTCAATAATGCAAGTAGGAGAAAGTGAATCTGAAGAAATCTTAATGCTTGCAAATAGGAAATAGAACCAGAATTTTCATTCTCAAAAATAAAAAAGTCATAATGTAAAACAGTTATATTCCTTAAACAGAATCAGACTCGTTATGAAAATGTACTACTTTCATTTATCCAATCTTAAACCTATGTTATTTAAAAATATAATTTAAAATTAGGCATGATGAATTTAAGTGTGATTACTTTGACAAACATGGAGTGTAAAGAAATAATTTCCCAAAGCAGAGTAAAGAAAATACTTTTCTGTCAGGGAACGCTGATTAGCCTTATCACAATGCAGAGCGTGAGTAATTGAGAACAGCCATTTACTTTGGTTAAAACACTACTGCCTTGCTAATTTTGTATAAAATAATTATTTTCACAGAAAGAAATTTTGAAATCGGATCTCATTGTCTGCACAGCGGCTGCTGTTCTGTCGTTTGCTGTCAGTGCCAGTACTGTGTTTCTATCATTAAGGGTGTGTATCTGTCCTTTTTTTTTTTTTTTTTTTTTGGTCCCCCTAAAATATTATCTTTTATGTAAAACCACAGGGTGCTTTAACTGGAAACAATTGAGATTGTGGGAAGAGAAGTAAACGAAAATGTATTTACTGGTCATGATAACATTTTTTTTATGTGCAAGGTAGTCAGTTTATGGATATTTGGTGTAATTTCAGTGTTACTTATTTGATGTCTCTTCCCTTAAACGTCTGCATATCCACAGCTCTTTTATGATGTGGAACCTTGGGGAACAGAATGAATAAGCCTGATCACTTGCCTTTTTTCCTCCAATTAGGGAGGAAAGAATTGGTTAATTCTGTGTGAAAAATATGTGTTTCAAAATCTGTATCCAACTGTGGAATCGGAGTTTGAACATAGGAATAAAAATAAATTGCACAAAAATACAATTATAGGAACTGTTACAAAATGTTAAAAAAAAAGTTTGATATAAAAATGTTGTTTGCAAATTGTAACCATGTTTAATTTTTTTCTTTTGGCCCAGCCATTTCTCAGCATTGTCTTGTTTGCTTTAGCCTGGACCGTGGGCTTTATAACACATTACGTGCTTCCTCAGCTCCGCAAGCATCACCCCTGGCTGTGGATCTCCCACCCCATACTCAAAAGCAAAGAGCACCAGCAACGGGAAGTGAGAGGTTTGTAAAAAAATCTTTTCTAAACAATGGATGCAATGACTTGCAGCTTGTCTTGGTTTAAAAAAAAAAATACAGAAGGAATAGAGAAGGGAGAATAAATCATACTTTACGTTTCCCTCTTTTGAATAGCATACATAGCCCACGATTTAATATTTTTTTTCTTCCCGGTCACCAGCAAATCTGTGGCTCTGTAGAAGTTGTCTCCTGAGACCACTGCACAGAAGGGCTGAGGCTGGACAGGCCCCTCTGAAGCTTGTGTAGTCCGACACCCCCAGCTAGAGCAGGTTGCTCAGGGCTGTGCTCAGTTTTGAATATCTTCAAGCGTGGAGACTCACAACCTTTCTGAACAACCCTTCTGTTCTAGAATTCAATTATCCTTACAGTAAGAGAGATTGTTTTGTTTTGGTTTGTTTTTTTCTATGTTGAAATGGGATTTCAGTTTGTGCCCATTTGCTTTTGTCCCGTCACTGGGCACTACTGAGAACTGTCTGGCTCCGTCAACTTTACCCTCCCCGTCGGGTATTTATACCCCCAATCAGACATCAATAAGATGCCCCATGAGCCTTTTCTTCTTCAGGCTGAGCAATACCAGCCCTCTCATCCTCTTCTTCTATGTCAAATGCTCCTGTCCCTTAATCATCTTACTGGCCTTAAGTGGCCTTTCATGGGCCATCGTCTGATGTGCCTTTTGCTTTTACATTGCAGTACTTGCTGTGTTGCTTAATATCTTACTGTTCATGCTTAATACGTTGGCATTTTGTATAATTTAAAACCTTAAATGATTTATGAAATTGAGGCAGAATTTTTTCTACTTTCTGACACATAACTATATATCATTTGAACAGCGTTGGTAGTGCAACTTAGAGTTCTAATTTCCATCATAACACTTTTAGAGGAACATTAAAATTGAAAGGAACTGTGAAATTTTCTTGAAGATTTGTTCTTGCTAATGTCTGCTGGCTTCAGTGGGTAGCGCCTTGATACAAACAAGTATAGCTAAAAAATTTAATATGTTAAGGCCTGATTCCCTGTTCTGATACAGCTATTTCTGCAAGCAGATAGAAGTGCAGCTTTATTTTTTTTTTTTTTTTCTCCCCGGCTCTCATCTTGCCTTTGCTACCAGCCAAAATCTTACTTGTCATTTCTTGATGGATCCTGTGCCTTAATCATTCTCAATATATGTTTCTGAGGTGTTTGAAGGCAGCGTTGTCAGAACACAGTCTGCCGAGGGACTTTAGTCTGTTCTTCAACAAGACAACAAAAGAGTTCAGATCACTCTCTGCAAAACCATACATTAAGGATTTAAATCTTTTTTTTTTAAACAATCATGTATTTCAAAATGATTACTTTCCAAACAAGTCTTGGGTATGAAAAAAGTGCCCAAGAGACTTGACTAAAGGTTGTCTTTTAATTTCAACTGCAATATGCCAAGGGAAGTGCAGTAGAAATATAAATTTTATTAAGGATCATGCCCAATTGAAAGCATTGCTCAGGGCTTCTGATGAATACCCAAGTTTTATTGTTTGTTACATCATTTAGTCAGAAAAGATTACTGTAGGATTTCTTTCCCTTGTCCTGATTAAGTCTGTCTTAATTTGTCAGAAAACATTGTTTTCCCAAATGTAGTGACTCAGCTTTTGGAAAGGTTGAGGGTAGGGATCTGCCAGATAGATGGGTTTCATTCTGCTTTGAGATCAGATGCATTTCCCATGCTACCTGCTGCAGACAACAGACTTTTTTCCTTCTTTTGCAGTCCTCATTTTGTATGTGGTCAATTTCCTCACATTGGGGCTTAAGTATTATTTTGAAGTATCTGGTGTTGTGTGTTGGAAAACAAGAGTAAAAAAAATACATATATTTCAATCCCATAGGCTGCTGCAGAAGCTTTTTATCGTGTTCTGAGATGAGACAGGCTGAGCAGAAGGTTGTATAATCCCTTTGATAGATATGTCTGACAGGCTGTCTTCTTTCTTTTACTCTGTAAGAAAAATGTAGGACCTGAACTTAAAGGTTCCCTGTTTATATAGAAAGAGAAGCTTGGAAAAGGACGTTGTCAGGCATGGACAGTGAAAGGACAAGCACACAACACAAGATGTCTCTGAGAAGCTTTTACTGCATAGAATTTCATTTTCAGCTTCCTAATTTTTGACAAGTGTAGTGCTATGAGGAGATGAATGATTGCTTGCAATTAAACAAGCACCTGGTAATGGTAATTCCACAAGTTTATTCCTGGCTTTGTTTCATAGATTTTGGATGATCTGTTCAAACTTTCAGGCCTTCCACTAAATAGCAATTGCCAGACCAGTTCTTGTGATGCCCCTGTGAGATAACTCATTTATTACTTCTCATTGTTTTGCCTGACTATAGGAAGAAAGGCTGAGGTCAAGATGTGTGAGCTTATGGTATAATAGATGTGTAGAAAGCAGTGCAGGACTGAGTGAGAAAGAAACCCTGAAACACAAGAGACTATTTTTTCTGTTTTTCTCCCCACCACTGCTTTACACCCCACAGATTCGTGTAAGCCATTTTCAAATCATGCCCATCTTTCCCTGGGCCCCCTCTGAATGTGAGCTCTTTTTTTTTGTCTGCACTGTCTGCACAAATCTCTCTCTGCTTCTGCAGCTGCCTTCTTTTTGGTCTACATGATATGCACATCTCTATTCAAGCTTGAGTTCTTACACAGAGGTCAGCTGGATGAAGTTCTTGAGTGGAGCTCTGAGAGCAATTTGTAGTTCAGGAGGAGGTGAGAGGAATGCAGAATATCATCTAGGCTCCACAATAGATATTTCGCTGCATGTATGAACTTTTAGGAGGAAATATTTTTACCTTATAATAAGAAACAGAAATTGATGGTGTTTTCTGAATGCAGATTTTTACAAGAGCATTGCCTTAGCTTAAGATACCAGCAAAGCATGACTTAAAGACAATTTGGAAGGATTGCTTTTTGCTTTTAGATGTTTCTCTTTGAGCCTGTACAATATACAACTCTGCCTGTAGAACATACAAATCTGTTGATTCAGCATGTCTTCTTTGTCTGTCATTGAAAAGTTGTGTGTGGGAGGGTGGGATGTGTATACATAATTATTTTCATTTCTGCAGGGAAGAGTATTGAAGATTCAGTAGCTGGAATTGTTATTTCTGAGTCAATACCAAGTTCTGCCTTTTTGTGTTCATTGTTTTTCCAATAACCTTGTGTAGCTGAGCTCAGCTGAGAATAAAGACATTATTTTTGTCCATACATAAGTGTTTCTGCACTCAGTTCACATAAGTTCTTATAGCAATTGAACTGCACAGAGCATTCAGTTCTTGTCTAATACTCACGTTAAACACTGTGATGATGTTAGAAAAAATCTGCTGCAAAAAAAAAAAAATTTTACTGATGAATGATGTGATCCTAGCAGATAATTTTTACAGTGGCTGTTTAAGTGTTTTGAGAAACATCTATGGCAGTGTCTAGCTCCTGTTTATTCTTCAGTCTTTAGATCTCAAAGGATATTTCATTTATCAGTGAGGTCAATGATACTTTGCAGTCTAATGAACAATGTTTTGCCACTATAAGATGGAGAAGGAGAGGCACAGAGTTCAAATGAGGTTCTCTAGGTCATCCACCAGGTCAGTGCCAGAGCTGGAGAGGGCCTCTCTGGAGTCATTACATTACTGAAAGTGCTATTTAATATAGTGACTAGTAATTGGATTATGTAGAAACTGCCATCTAGCATGTACCATCTCTTACAGTTTCTGAGCATTTCTCATGAGTGCAGTTATAAACAGCAAGACAGATACTCCCTGAATTCAGAGAACCAAAGGATTTCTTTATTGCAAAAGAAGTATGCATTCTGTTGTTTCATAAATTAGTTGGTTGATTATATTATTCATGTGAGCTAACTCATTTCTTCTACAGTATTGCTGTGCAAAAAGTGCTAATAATTTGATGCAACGATCTGTTATCTGAATTCCTATTTCAGATGCTGCTCATTTGATGTGGTTTGAAAGGCTTTATGTGTGGCTTCAGTGCTTTGAGAAATACATTTTATATCCAGCTATAATACTGAATGCCCTCACCATCGATGCTTTCTCAATTAGTAAATACAAGAAGCTTGGTACACAGTAAGTAGATTGTAACTCAAAGCATGTGATTAGTAGAATGTTTGGTTTTAGACTGAAGACTGAGAAATAAAATTTGTTTCTTATTTAAGTCTGCTTGTCACAGTTTGCTGTTGTGCATTGTTAGTTCAGTGTACAATAATTATTGACTTTGCTGAAAGAAAAAAACAAAATTACCTTAGCACGTGCTAAGACATGATTCCAGTGAAAGAGAGAGAAATTAAAAGATTAAAGAGCTATATAGAGATATATACGGAATGTCTAAATGTCAGTTAAAAGCAAGACCAGGCTGCAGGTGTTTGATGGGCATAAACACAGTGGGGTAACGAGAATTAATCAGATGAAAATGAGAAATCTAGGCTGGATATCAGGAAACATTTCCTAACTGAGGATTTTTAAGACTACGGTGTAGTCTCCCAAAGGAGTTATCAGAAGCTTCACCACACAAGTCTGTTAAGACAAAACTGAATAAAATATTCAATAGTATAGAACGATGGGTAGTCCTGTATTGAGCGGTTTGAGAAAGGTAGTGATACAAGTTTTGCCAAAGTCTGATGCATCTGATATTAAGCAGAACTGGTGATACTGACCCATGGTCTCACAGTGTGATCCTTGCAGACAGCCTTTTCTGGTAAATATTTTGGTCGGTGACTTGCCTGCTGCAGGTATTCAGCAGGCTTAGTGACTGCAGCATCCCCAGCGAGCAGAGTTTCTGCAGTCTTTTTATATCAGAATGACAGTGATGCAGATGATAAAAACAAAGAAACAGCCTGTGTTCAGGGAAGAAGATTCCAGTAGCAGGAAAAACAGCTGGAGGCAGGGGAGTTCCTCAGTATTAATAATAATTTAGATCCTTAAATTTAAATATTAGGTAAAAGAACTTTGATGTAAAAATTGCAGGTTGTTTTAATTATTCTTCTCTCTTGAAGAGCAACACAGCTTCAGGGACTACACAACTATAAGGAAAAGGTGGTCCCTGCTTTTAAGGGCTGAAACGAGGACTAGGGCATTAATTAAATTTTGTGTTCCTCCCAGACAACTACTTTTCCAGAGAGACTCTCACCAGTCACTCAGACATAGCCTGTGTAGCTCCCCATTGATCTTTTTTCCCAGGCACTTGGGAGATGCTAAGGCCAAGGTGCTTCGGGAGTTTAGGTGTATTGTCCAAGGTGAAACTGAGTTCACACTCAACCCTCTGTTTGGTTTGCAAGGCTGGGAGAGCTAAAAAGTAATCAAAAGTAATCAAAGTGTCATTTGTCACTAGTTAGCAGATATGACTGAAGGCACACACAGAGCAAATATGTAGGGTTAGGAAGGTGCTACTTTTACGTAGTCATTCCTCCAAGCTAGATTGCACTTGAAAGTATCACCTCCCTCAGGTGTTCAGGAGTAGTGAGTCAGTCCCCCAGACATCTTGAGATTAAAGAAAGTAATTACATTTGTCTGCCTCTGATTGTTTGGCCTGTAGGGGAATGCCATGACAAGCCTTTGCTTCCCCACCCCTCGGTGTCTCTGTGATCACCTTGGATTTAAAACCTGTGTTTTCTCCTTTTTCTTGTAGCTGAGGTCTGTCCACAACACTCCCAGTAATCCCTTCTTCTCTGGCACTCCTCTTTAATACACTTCCCCTACAGCTGCCATGGAAATGCCACACACGAAACAGTCGTCCTCAGGTCCTACCTCTTTCTCCTCAACTCTGTAAGCCCATAACGCATCCTGGACTCTCCTTGCTCCTTCTATATACAGTGTTACTGAGGGTTGTACTTTCTCTGCTTTAAAACATCAATACTCGTTTTCTGTTGCTGGAACACTCTGTAGTTATTTACTGCCCCAGGATCAGACGGCCTCGTACCTTAGCGAAGGGAAGGCACCACTCACCCTCTCTGTGTCTGAAAGTGTCCGAGGTGCATGATTTGATTTTGGAGTTTTTCCTCAATTTGAATGTATTTTTTAAAGAAGCTTCATCTTGCTTTGTGACTTAAAGGACTGAAGCAGTTTGCTTCTTGAGGAGGCAGAACAGTTCCTTCACAGCCAGGAGTTTGTAGGTTTCCAGACTCTAATGTGGTGGTTATTAATGGGACCCATGGTGACAAGCTGAAAAGCCTGCCAGTGGTACCTGCCACAGAGACAGGCCCTCTTCCTCTCATGCTTTCTCTCTGCTGGGAGTTAAGGCCTCAGAAAAAGCATCTTGCGTGGCAATATCTTTAAAGAAGAGGGATAATAAGCAAATTATTTTCTCTTACCCCCAAGAGCCTTATTTTATAAAATGTAATTTTTTTTTGGTGAAATTTCCTGCATGTAAACAGATCCAGTGAGGAAAAAGTCTTTCTTTTGCTCATGTTTTTCATGTGAGAATTCCTCCATGTTGCAAGAATTTTCTTCCTTCTGAAGAATGCGAGATCCAGATGGTTCATACAGGACAAGCTGGGATGGCTTCTAGTGACTTCAGAATCTATTTAGCTTAGTCCCTAGGTTTTCCATTCAGAAATCTGGGGCAAAATGAAAAGAACAGCTTTGACAAGGTGAGAAATAAGGTCAGCTTGGCATTTCATTCCAACAGTGACGTCCTGGTGATCCTGTAGAATGACCTGCACTCAAATTGCATCTTCATCACAGAAGATACACAATAATGAATAAATGCCACATAAACTAACATCAACCTGGAAATGTACAGACTTATAAGCCTTGCTAAAATGATGAAAACCTGTTTAGAGCTTTCTGGCCTGTTAAGTGTCAGTCATGGCAGCAGGTACTCTTGTTGTTCACAGCAGGAATCCATGCGTTTTGCAAATAGGTGGCCTACTTTGAGTCACTCATTGTGCATTGAAGTTCCCATCTGTTTTCACCAGCATCAAACAAACAATGCATCTCCCAAAAAGTGAATGTGCTTAATCTACTTAAGAGAAGCAACCTGTCTCTCAATTAACAGGGAGTAACTTGTTCATGTCTATTAGGTTTGGGTTGTCTTTTCAGGAATAGATACAGTATGGTTCTTGGGCATCAATGTGCAAAACTGCAATTCTAATATACTTGTTCAACTGCCAGAAAACCCTGAGGGTACCTAATATCACTAAATACTCCTGAATTTGACTTGATGGTTCATTAGGAGGCTTGAGATAGACTTCTGAACATGCCCAGAACTTTCTGAATAAATCACTTCTCTCATTTTATCCTGACTAGAACCCAGAAACCCAAAGGTTTTGAGCTGAGAGCTGGTTTTGCAGCATCCCCTGTGTGTGATCAGGACTGAGTTCAAAAAATACTGCTTTGATTTTCTTTCTTTTAAAAACCTTGGTGGAGAAGGTGTTGTTGCCCATTTCATTTAACAAGAGCCCAACTGTTGAGCACTTATCAGGAAAGCAGAGGCTATGGGAGGTTTGCTCTTGATTCCTCCTACTTTCATGGTATGAAATTCTTATAGGAGTGGGGAATCGTGTTCCAATTCCCACTCCTGACCCTGTTCCCAGGCTTTTTAGTGGTTGTTGGATAAAATACAGATCCATGTAGGTGTTCATGGTCTGGAGCCCAGTACTGTGTCCCATCTCAGGGGAGTGCCTGTCTACCCAAATGATGTAAAAATTAATGTGTCTGAGACCTTTCTAGGATCTAACTCCCAGAATAGGCTGTGTTAACAAGAGATCAAAATACTGTCCAAGCAAGACCATCTTTCTAATTCTGTAAATTATCTTAAGAACAAAACTTTAAAATATGAACAACCTCAAGTCTCTAAGTACAGATATATATCCAGAGACTGGAGTGGTTTTTTTTTTAAATTCAAGGGGTGCCAATATGTTACTTCCATCTTTCCTTCTCATGTAATTGCATTTTCTTATACAGAAAATTGTGTAGTCTTCTTGGAGATATAGCAGCAAACACTTTAATTTTTAAAGATTAGACTTCTTGATTTTCTGTGTGGTCACTTACTATTTAGAGTTCTCAGCTTAATTTCACTCTCTGGAATGTAATAAGGGAGAGTATAATGCAGACTCCATGCATTTTACGACACATAGATGCAACACACAATTTCTTTTTATCTGATAAAGTAATTACTATATAGAATAGATGACCTTCCAATCAAGAACAATGGGAAGAATTTCTAGCATTTCATCTCTATGGGTGTTTCTATCTAGAATTTTGGCATTGTGTGTAATGAAAGCAAGAGAATAATTATAAACTCTGTCATCAAGTGAAATTTCTATTAATAAAAAAACCTGGAATAGGTTCAATACTTTTTTTTTTTTTTCCCAAATTACAGTAGTGTATTAACGGAAATGCCAAGGTATTTCCAAACTTGAAATTTTATTTTAAGAGCTATACAAAAATATCCTTTCTGGATTCTTAGTTTTTAATAGTCTATACTACTGGTTTTAGTACAGAGTTTCTTTATTACAGATTACAAGTGAGTGATGATGATAAGGGAAAAATATGAAGTTGCACATGGGTAAAAGAATGTGATTATTAAAAGAACATAGGATTAGTATCAGAAATCAATAAGATGTATAGATTTAGATATACATAGCAATCTAAAGTACATGTGGTACAGCTATTTGTATGGTTGGAACTTGATGATCTTTAAGGTCCTTTCCAACCTAGACCATTCTATGATTCTATGATAATTTAATGTGTTATGACTTTGGTTTGATTAGGCTTTTCTTTCTGCCTTTCTTACAGCTGTGATATTATCCTGATAACAGTTGCTGGGATGAAACTCCTCCGCTCCTCATTCTGTAATCCTATTAATCAATTTGTTACTTTGAGCTTCACTGTGATCTTCTTCCGATTTGACTATAGAGACATTTCAGAAAATTTCTTGCTGGATTTCTTCATGATGTCCATCGTGTTTCATAAGGCAAGTTTTATAGCTTTTTTATAGCTCCTGTCATTTCTTTGGAAAATATATTTCATAGCTTTATTTATCTTTTTAGTGTCACTGTGCTGGTGGATTTTTTTAGAAGTAATATGGTAGGATTTTTTAGAAGTAATGAATGCATATGTAGACACAGAGTATTGGTACAATAGAGGAAAAATCTGTAAACTGAAAACAAGGTTCCAGTTAAATGTATTCTCTGGTTTTGTGCAATGTTTTGCATTTACTTTTTGTTCACATAAAGTAGAAAGTTCAGAATTCTTGTTCTCAAGAGGAGAACCCTCAATGAGTTGAAAAGAGCCTCTTGGGTCATTAGTGCAGGGCTGTCCTCCAGATCAATCGCCTGGTGTTTTTATCTAGGTTTCCTTTGAATGCCTCTAGTGTTTGACTCAACAACTTCCTTTGGGAAATTATTCCATTATCTAATCATCCTCATGATAATAAATGTTTTCCTAATGTCAGCCTTAACATTTTGCTTTTCCTATTTTCAGTCTGTTATCCTTGTGATGCTGCCCTTAACCTTAACCTCAGAGCTCCCTCCTCTCTTTCGCATTTTTAACTCTTGAAGTGTACTCTAGTTGAATTTACTTGGAAAAAAAACATTTCTGCATCAGCCAGATCAGATCTTGTCTTGATTTGCTGTCTATGCTGTTTCACTGAAGGAAGCAGGTTTAACTGATACCTTAATAAATCACGAGAAAGTATTTAAGGCTTACCTAAAGCTTTTACCAGTTCTTTTGTATTTTGTTTTGGTTTTAAACTTGTTGGTCCCTGATTGCCGTAACATATGATACAGTTTGTCCAGGGGTAACTCTGGTGAGGTGTTTGTTTTTTTTGCTGGGATTGCTTGTTTGGTTTATTTTTCTCAAACATTCCTACTATATGTGTGAGAATGACCCAGCTAGCACCACTTGATTTCTGAGAGGAGAAAGACATGGTAGTTTCAGGCTTCCTAAGGGAGAGACCCAGTTCATTGGTGTTACGCTGGGAGTTCCCAGTCATTCAGGCAAAGAGTGAAGCAGAAGTTAAAGGCTTTTCCTGGTTTATTTCTGTGCTGCTGTGAGGGAGGAGGGGAAGGGAATAATAACAACAGCTCAGTGAGGGACCTTGGGCTCCTTTCTCTGAACTCTTGGACCACACTCCAGTTGTGGCTTCCTCTGCTTCAAGCCTTCAAATGTCAGACCTGTTGTGCTTTCTCTCTGCTGGGGTAAGGAGGAAAGGGTTGGGGAGGGAGGCCAGAAAGAAAGGAGCAGAAGAGATACAAAGGTCTGCTTTAAAAAGAACCCTTGCCCCATGTTCTGTGATCCTAAAATAGGGTTAGAGTAATTTTTTAAGCTTCTTACCTTGGAGGTCCCTTCCAAACTCTAACATTCTGTGATTCTGTGAGTGAAAGATGAGCAGTGAAAGTGTTGCAGAGGTTGGTAGCATGTGGCAGTTTTCAGTATTTGTTGCATGTTCCCTAGAATAAGGGGTGAATTTCTGTCCCCAGAGAAGATTGTCAGTGATGTTCATCAGTGGGCATCCTATGTCTGGATAACGACTTATTTAGTCCTAAAACTCATTCTCCAAAAACCTCTCTACAGGATCAAAAAATTAGCACCCCAGAATTGAAAGTGTCACTATTCATTAATTCATTTGAAAATGTTGACCTTGTGAGCATATCACAACATACTGGTGTGGATCATTGCATATTTTTGGAGGAGAGGTGTAAAGGCTTTTCAGTGTTGTTCTTTGGGAGTTGCTTGGGTAGTTTGAAGCTACTGCTTACAGTAGAAAGGCTAGTGATAGCAATCTGAATGAGATAATGAAGGACACATCCCAAATTAAGCAGACATGTTTGCTAGAAAGCTATCAGGCTTGAAAACTTGTACAGCAGATGTGTTTTGAAAATGTTGTTTTAGCATTGATCTGCAGTCTTCAGATCTGATAATATTCAAAATTTTGAAGGTCATTAGTTCATCAAGTGGACTTGTCCTTGTTCCATTTTAAAAAATTGAAATTAAATGGTTGAATTATTTATATTACAAAAGCACATGGACCATTACACAATGATCATTAAAGCTAATCTGAAAAATAGCATTGCAGATGATAGCAATTAAAGTCCTGTTCATTTCAATTCATAAAGGGCATAAGTTTTCTTTACCCTAATTAAGGTCTGAGCTTTTACTAGTTCAATATTGTGGAACTTTAGTAAAAGATATGGTCACTTGAGGATAAAGAGGGTGTATGTTTATTCCATACTATAGGCCCTAAGCAAGCTGCATCCCCCTCTGTTCCTGAAAGCTTTATGGGTCTTCACAGATTCTGGCTGTCTGTAGTTCAGTCCTGTTTGTGTTTGCAACTGTTTCTAAAAAGAAAAACAGAAACTGAGACAGTTTCTGTTACCATCACCTTTGTCTATGCAGAATTTATTACACAGTCGCGGCTGATCTCTGCTTACTCATTGAAAGTGTCAACTTGCCACCGTCTGAATTAGGGAATGATGTGCCTTGGTCATAGTGATGGTAATTTTTAAGCCTGGTTACCACACAAAAAAATGCTTGCGTGCTCTGAGCACTGTTGTAGTAAGCCTTTATTTTTCTCTGCCAGGCACTGGGGAAGAAGGTGCCTAAATTCAACAGACGTTCACAACTGCCTTAGTGACTCGTGAAGCAGATTATTTTGAATAAAACTTTGCTAATAATATTGGGTTGAGTATTTCTGAATATCTCGCTGATTGTGCTTCCCTCATTTTCCCCACTGTGCTGTTGATTTAATGTAATTTAGTCAAATCAGAAGCTCCAAATGAACATATTGCTTACTGAACAGGTTGAGGCATGGAAGTCCAAATTGCTGCTCCCAGATTTTTATCTCTGTTTACAGATAGCCAAGCCACCCACATTGGGGTAACACAGAGAACAAGAGAGTCTATTCAGTTCTATTCCTGGGGATTTTTTTAATCAGCCTGGATTTTTTAAGTCTTTTTAATATCATAGGATTTATTAATGTGACACGTTTAATTCCCTTCTTTTTTAAAAGTCATGAGCTGTTTACATTTTGGCAAGTCGTGGAATGTGAAAACTTAATGCTGAAAGTTGGTTAGGTACATGCAGAGTGTGCTGTTTTGTCTTTCAAATTACCTTGGGAAGGAAGCAAGATAAACATTTAAGAAATAATTTCTTATTTATTTTTAAGAATGAACTGCATTTATTTTTAAGAATGACTTTCAATTCAAGTGGAACAGGACTTCCCCATCTTTCTTATGCTAAGACTTTCCATGTAGCCAGCCCAGTTTGTCTCCTTGGCTACAGCCTGGGAGTCTTGTGTCCAAAACTCCCATTGTCTGTATTCTTTAAATCAGAGATGAATGGCCTTTTAAAATTACATGATTGCTCATTCAAAAATTCCGAGTGTAATGCTTTACAGGAAGTCAAGCCACATAATCAAGACAGTCTTCTTGGTCTACAAGACTCCATGTGAACTTTTCAAATGAGCCAGTTGTTCTCCCTGGACTTTTTAGGAGATAGTGTCAGTGCAAAGGTTAATAAGAATGTTCATATTCATTGAAAATGGATACCCACAAATAACTCAGATTATATTCTTCATAGGCACAGCAAAGATGGAATATATAACTGGACTTGATGATCCTTGAGGTCTTTTCCAACCTTAATGATTCTATGACTCTATGACTTGGGAGATTTCTTCCTAAACTTCTAACAGTAGGAAAAACTCTAAGATTTTTTTCTGTAATAGGATAAAAAATGTCCGTTTTGGGGGCATGGAAAGAGTAAACTGTTTGGGAATGATGGATCGATCTTCCACCCTTCTGATGTCCACTGACATAATACTTAACTGAGGAAAACCCAATGTATGCAACACATACATGAGAGGGAGAGCATATGGATGGTTAAGTGCATGTCACAGCTCATCTAGTCCATCTTTATTCAGTGCGATTGGGGAAGAAAAAAAAAAACAAAAGGAATATGCCCAGCACAGCCCTTTTTGGTAGATGTGTGAGCTGCTTTTAAAGTATGTCTGGAACAACTACTGCTCAAGTCAAGAATGAACAGATATTGTTAAGCATGAAGTAGAAACCAATGCAAATCATTCCAACAGTGAGGATATCGGTTTGGAACTGGCTGAGTGTTAACAAAGATGCTCAGGGCAAGGCTTGTCCCCGGCTCCTTTTCGGTGTTCCCTTGAAGATGTGGCTTTGTGTTTCGTCCAGTGCCATGAATATCCTCTAAATCTTGCTGGTGGAGAGGGGTCATAGTGTCTCCCTGAACTGCTTTTGGAACCTGAAGTGGTGCTGATGCTGGGTTGAGAGCGCAAATACAGCAAAAGACTTGGTAGTGAGAGTGTGGATGCTTCTGGCTGTAGTATGCTCTTGGCTACTACAAAAAACTGTCAGGTTTTTTTTTTGTCTGTTCTCTACGGGGAGCAACCAGCAGCATGCTGGAGATTCCTGCATGCCCAGTTGTGGTAAACTGGCTCTTTTATCAGCAACTCCTTCATCTGTAGAGCACAACTGAAGAAATGATACCTGTACTTTGGAACATGTATTTTTGACAAATCTGTGTAGCTTCCTTTAAGCCGTAAAGAAAGAGCCACCCTTAGCTTACACACTCATCTACTACACAGATCTGGATGGGAATGATAACACCCAGTGTCATTAACCCTCTAATGTACAGGACTACAACTTCTTATCTCTTTCAGCGTCGGTTCTGGCACGCAATTTAATGGCCTCTTAATTTGTGTGTGTGGATGAACTAATTAGCAATACTAAAATATGAAATCACGTTATATTTTCTTATAGTCAAGTCCTCTGAGGGTTCTGAATTTGTCTTCATGCATAAGGCAAAATAATCAAAGAACCAGAGCTTGTTAAATTTGCCTTCATTAACACTGAATTCATTTGCCTAAGTACTCTTACCCCTGCTGAGCTCACTTAAGAATACAATTTCCCTGTCTGATATTTTTTCTTCCTTCCCAGAATATATTTT